AAAAAAAAAGGGGAAAAAAAAAAAAAAAAAAAAAAAAAAAAAAAAAAACACATCATAGTAAAACCAATACCTTCTCAGCTTCGCATCGAAGCTAAAAATAGATATTAGNTCGGGTATAACGTTAGTCCGACCCGCCCGGCCATAAAACACAGCTATACTTAGTGCATGATACTTTTACGTAGTTAAGTCGCATTATTTGTATAAATATATATATTCTAATTACTATTAAAATTAATATATTAACACGATTTATTCTAATTAAGAGATATAAAGTATTCATTCCGATTACGAGGGATGATTTCCGTATCGTCATTTTTCGTCACTACCTCCACGTTCCGGGAGTGAGTAATTTACGCGCCTGCTGCTTTCCTTGGATGTGGTAGCCGTTTCTCAGACTCCCTCCCCAGAATCGAACCCTGATTTCCCGTTACCCGTAACAACCATGATATTGATAGTAACTACTATCATAACATGAAACTAAAAAGTAAAAAATAAATATAGTTTAAAAAACTAAAAAAACACGCTTTTAAAGTACATCGAACTAAAAAGTTAAAAATAATTTTTAAAATAATTATGAACAAAAAATACTAGTATTATTGTGATAAAAGCGTCGGGCGCTCAATATACGAAAAATATGGCACAAAGCACCCACGCTTTTATCACAATAATACTAGTATTTTTTGTTCATAATTATTTTAAAAATTATTTTTAACTTTTTAGTTCGATGTACTTTAAAAGCGTGTTTTTTTAGTTTTTTAAACTATATTTATTTTTTACTTTTTAGTTTCATGTTATGATAGTAGTTACTATCAATATCATGGTTGTTACGGGTAACGGGAAATCAGGGTTCGATTCTGGGGAGGGAGTCTGAGAAACGGCTACCACATCCAAGGAAAGCAGCAGGCGCGTAAATTACTCACTCCCGGAACGTGGAGGTAGTGACGAAAAATGACGATACGGAAATCATCCCTCGTAATCGGAATGAATACTTTATATCTCTTAATTAGAATAAATCGTGTTAATATATTAATTTTAATAGTAATTAGAATATATATATTTATACAAATAATGCGACTTAACTACGTAAAAGTATCATGCACTAAGTATAGCTGTGTTTTATGGCCGGGCGGGTCGGACTAACGTTATACCCGAGGTATAAACGGCGGTAGGAATATATATATATATACGTAAGGCGCATTAGACGCGGGCGTTATTGGTCAGTCAAAATAAAAATTTGTTTACATATATATAATATTGATGACAAGCACGCGTGTACGGGTACGATAACTAAAAATAAATTTTTATAGGAATAGTGTACCGTCGTATTGTGAGCGAGGCGTGGGGAGGGGTGAATGCGTATAACAGTCTAGTCTAGACAACGGAATATGCGATAACGCGTGGCGTTTGGAGAGTTACAAACTTACAAACAAACAACAAACAACAACAAACATACACGTGAAACTAATAAAAGCGTGTTAAAAAAAGTTGTAGCGCACACAACAAAATTTACGACCGCTACGGACGGGAAATAGTGCGACCAGTTCCGACTTTTCCCCGACAATCCGTCCGACGTTTGACCCGGCGGTCCGTTGGCGACAACACGGCTAGCCTTTAGAGTAGGGGTCAAAAAAATAACTAAATACCCAGTGCCGGAAATTATTGAAAACAATTGAAATCATATGGCGACCATGTATGCGGTGAGCAGTGCAAATGATGTTCAAGATAGGAAAGGAGCGGGGTGAATGTACACACAAATGCCGTCCATGAACCGGTCCGAAGTAGTACACAGCTGACTATCTCGCACGCGCATAAGCAAATCACAACACCTTATCATGATAATTTTACCAACAAACGCCGTCGCAGTCCGCATTCGGCTCAACACAAATATATATATACAAATAGACAAAAAAACACAACCAGATACTTTTGTCACGTTACAATTACAATAATTTTTATTTAAATAAAGTATAAGTAGAAAAACTTATTGATTGGATGCATTCCTACCTAAATGATAGACAACAATTTAATC